TCTAGTTTTTGGTGATTATGAGTAAAGCTACTTGAAATATTTACATACAGGCCTTTTTGCAGGTGTGTGTTTTTATTTCTTGTGGACAAACACCTAGGAGTTAGTATTACTGGGTTGTATGGTAAATATGTTTTACCTTTATAAGAAACTGCCGAAGTGTTTTCCAAAGTGGCTACACCATCATGCACCCTATCAGCAATGATGACAATTGTTCTGCAACTTTGTTAGCACTTTGTATTGCCAGTTTTTCCAAATTTTAGTCATTGTAGTTAATAGGTATGTAGTGGTATGTCATTATGATTTTAATTTGCATTTCCCTAAATGACTAATGCTAAGAATCTTTTCATGTCCTTATCTACCATCCAGCTCTTTTTTGGTACTGTCTGCTCAAATCTTTTGCCCATTTAAAAAAAATTGAATTGTTTGTCCTTTTCTTATTGAATTATAAGAGTTCTTTATATCTTCTGGATACTATTCCTTTACCAGACATGTTTTTACAGCTTCTTTTTTGAGGAATTGAAATTATAAGGATGTAAATTATATAATTTTCTTTATAAACCACTATCCCATGTACATACACTGATGAAGGGAACAACAAAGACTTAAACTTTCAGTTTACAAATACCTTAGTGCCACTGGACAGAGGATCAAGCAGTACTTGGTACCTGCTAAAACGCATGAGACTATTTTTACCTCCACTACAAGCACCCAACCAACATTAGACTTTAAGGAAAGCTACATCTGGATAAATGGCTGTCCAATAAACAGCTTTTGGCCCCCCAGGCTCTGCACCTCCCAAAGCCCTGTTCTGGTCCACTAGGCTCCTGGAATGGTCAACAGTCTTCACACTCCATTGCTGGCCATTGTCCACTGGGAAAGGTAGGAGGGTCCCAATCCATCCCTCAGTGAAAGAGCAAACAGTGAGGCCTGTGGCTGCTTGGACATCAAAGTTGAGCAAATAGGCTTGGCAGGCCCTGCCTCTTCGCCTTCACATCCTGCAAATGCCATATGAAGGAGCTTCCCTGAGGGGGGTTATGACTTTCAGCTTATCATAGAACACATCAAAGTTTGCACCACACACGAACTGGGTGCATGGGTTCAAATCAAGTTGCCCAAGAGCGGATACTCAGCCATTGTGTCCAGTTTTAATCCTGTGTTTTCCCAAGTAATTAAGCCTTCTTGCTTATGAACTTGTGACTAAGTAAAGCATCACTGAGAGGTTGTAACATCAAAGTGCCTTCCACCGTCTGTCCATGTTTGATAAAATTGGATTTCTTTCCCTTCTTAAAGAAAAACTAATTGAATTTAACTGAAGGCCGGGTATATTTGCACGAGCTGGTGGAGGCTATGCTAATTCACAGTGATCATCCTGGGACCCTGTGGCTTAGCCTTTAGCTGGACTGGGTCAGAGTACAACACAGAATGAGGCACCCAGACTCAGGCCAAACAAGTGCCTGTGGCATGAGGCTCATGGAGGGCTCACCGTGAAGGGGGGGCCAGCCCCCAGTGACTGCTTCTTAAGTCAATACTACACCCAAGCTGTTACTAGGGCTGGCAAAAGGATTTTCCTAGTAGAATATTGGTTAATCTTTGGCAGAATGGCTACTGAAGACAATGGCCATCACATTACTCAAGTCCTTGATATGTCAGCAGTTCAAGTAAGCTTCTTAAGGCAAAGGCTGTGATGCTTATTATCTGAACCCCCTCATAGCCTAGCACATTAGCACCTGACACAGTATAGTTTAAAAAATGTTTGCTGGATGCATGAACTGATAACATAAAGGAATGTCAGAACAAAGTTCCCCTCTACTAAAGAACCAAACTCTCCATGTCCCTTGTTTGCCACGCTCACTGGGAAACTTCAATCTAAATTAATACTCTATTTCACTAATTACCTGATTTATAGTGAGTGTGGCACGGTCCCATTTATATAAAATTACACACACACACACAAACATCGATCAGTCTCTAGATAGAGGGAATTCAGCTCACTGCTACTTTCTTCTCTATATTATTTTTACAAAAACAATAAACCTATTTTCAGAAAAGAAAATTTCTGGTTCAATCCTGATACAATTATCTTTCCTTTTACCAATATGATTTCTGATCTTGATCCAGTTTTAACTCTCTTGTGTACATTTATATTTGTATTTTAATTTACGTCACCTCAAACCCTTTTTGGAAATAAAAGGAAGAAATAAATTATACATTAAGTTCATTATACTACAGACTTTAAAAATTTTTGTTCTATGGCACTGTATTTTCTATTCAAACTTAAATAAAACAGTACTATCTTTACTATTCAAAATAAAATAAATAAATACATACATAAATAAAAGTTCACATTAAGTTAGTCTCCTTAAGAATAGAGACTATTCTGTTCTATATCCCTAAGGACTTAACACATTAAGCAAGTGTTCACTAAAGGCAGCTGAGGGTGAAATGACTGGGTGGCTCTCAGAATCTCTCCCTTGAGCTTGTGACTGCCAATATTCTAAAGCAGATGATGGTTCTCTCCTTTCAGCCTTGAATCAAGGGTTGCTACCCCTCTACCTTTCCTTCATCTAAATCCAATTAAAAAGTGGTGGCATTTCAGGCATGGCCAATATGATCCCAGAGGGTTTGGCGACTTATTAGATTAGAATCAGTACATTTCTAATAAGGAGAAACTTACTGGCAGTTGTGCTGGTATGGATGTGATGATTCCTCAGGACTACTCCCAGGACACCTTACCAAATGGGCCTACTCACCCTGACTAATGAATGTATTCCTGAGATTCCCTTTCACCAGAGTCTCTTTTCCGTTTTTCCATAGCACTTCTTACCCTCTAATATATTATGTGGTTTACTTATGCACTATATTTGTATATTGCCTGTCTCTGCCTCTCTACTCAGGGACCACCATCTGTATAGAAATAAGCTCTATGAGGGTGGGGAATCTTTGCCAAGAACAGTGCCTGGCAAACAATAGGTGCCCCCTAAAATTTGTGATATGAATAAACCAACCTAAGAGCATGCTATTTTCACTAAAAATCTGTCTTCCCTGGGTACTAGAATAAAGAGGAGGGCATAAAATGAAAGCTTAATACACCAATAATTAGTTCTAGAAACCAAAGCAAATAAATACAAGCCAACACTCTCACTTTGCTCAACGAGCATCACTGATTTGCTAATGGCCCTGGATAAACACAGGCAATCAGTTAAACTAACAACTCATTAGATTCAGAAAGAAGTATCCCCAAAGCACATCTACTAGCTATCTGTTCACTGATTGACAATACTCTTAAGTATAGTGTTATTTCCAATTCTGTTTCAGTGCTGAAAATACACTACACATAAGGGCACACTCCCTCCACTCCCTTTTTCCCCACCACTGGCTGCCTCTTGCAGATGGAGACACCTGCAAGCTGGGAAAGAAGACTGGTGGGTAGGGTGGAAATGGTGGTGGGTGGAGTATCAGTGGTAGAATAAACATGTGTATTTGTGCATAGAGAGATCTAATGTGACCAGCAGAGAATAATAACTCACCAGTTGTAAACTGTAGAACATATATTATCTCATTTGATTCTCATGAACATACAGCAAGAATCTACTCTGCTGCCAGATTCAGTCCTCTCATGCCCTCTGCTTTGATAACATCCTGTCCACACTGCTCTGACATCACTGATTACACTAAACTTTCTGTACCTGCCTTTCTTTTCCACATTAGGCCACAAGCTCCCAAGGTCTCTGATTACCAAATGATTAGCACAGAGCCTGGCTCAGAGTAAATATTTACCAAATGTTTGTAGAAATTAATTAATTTCAGGAGGAGAAACAATGTCCATAGAATTCTGAAACTCAACTAAGGGTCAGAACCAGGACTAAATTCCAGGTGTCTCAACTGCAAAGTCTATTTACATCAATTTTTCTTTTAAAGACTAAGTGCTAGGAGCTAGAGACAAATAAGAAAATGGAATGCTGAGAAAAAGTTCACAAAAGAAGAGCAGAGAAGAGAGACCTATCTTAAGTACAGCTAAGTCTCTCAGGCAGTCTGAGGTAGTGTCACACCTATATTATAAAATCTCTGTTTTGTTGGTTTCCATCACATTTATGACCCTTCCAAAAGTGGCTAGGACTAGCAAATAAAAAGCTTAAAAATCTGCTTGAAGGGAAAATTAAAATTGGTACCTCCTACTATCAATTTCAGTGGCTGCAACTAAAGCACCCAGTCTGTTTTCTTTGAAAGCATTTCTTTTTGCTCTTAATCAATGCTTTTGCACAATCACAACTAGAGAGTGGGATGGGAAGGCAGCATCCAGCACTTGCCTGGGATCTGGCAGTAGTGAGGTAAAGTACAACACACAAACTTTATAGGCCACCAGATCAGGTCCTAAATCCTGTCTATGTGACCTTAAACAAATTGCTTTATCTCTTTGGGCTTCAGTTTTCTCACCTGCAAAATAAGAATAACAACATATATGTTGTGGGGTGGTTGTGAGAATTAGCAATAACTCTCTACACAAAGTAGACTATTTAGATCTTTATACAACAGCTACACCCTAGGGAATGGACTAGTAGGTAGAAAAATAGCAGGGCTTCCAATGGGAGAGCAGGAATGCCCCTACCTTCCCTATTTTCCATCAGAACCTCCAAAGAAACAGCCCAGAGGAGCGCTGGCTGGGGACAGTGACTGCTGACTTCTCAACACAGAGAGATGGTGGATAACTCACTTAATCTCTTAAGACAGGCTTTCAAACATTTCATTGCTTCAACAATGCAAATGACTCGCCTAAGGTCACAAAGCCAATGAATGATGGAGCTGGGATTCAGAGCTACATCTTCCCTCTCCACATTTTTTATACTTTCCATTGCACTGGGTACAGACCAGTACCTTAGGCTGAGTTCACCTCCCTGCCTCTGGAGAAAACAGCAGGGGGACAGGCAAGGGCAGAGAGGATTCAGGAATGTGATCTGCAGAGATCTGGCTAAGGGAGCCCTGTGTGAAAGGAGATCTCTCACCTTTCGTTTCGGCTGATGGCTGCCACCATAAGTGCTGTCCAGCCAAGTTTGTGCCTTGCATTGACATCTGCACCTTCCGACAACAGCCTAGAAAAGACAGAGAAATATTTTCAGTATATGTTTTACCATGTACCTATGAGACAGCCAACAAATAGGGAGGCTGGATGAACCTGGAAATAAAGGCCTTTGAGAACTAAATACACATCCCAGCATTTCTGGCCAGTTTCCCCAACTCCAGGCTTCCCCTACCTCTCCGCCTCTTCCCTTAAGTGAGTCTGCCCCTTGCTGTCATCCTCCCAGCCTTGTGAGAAAATATGTGGTAGGGACCTTAATGCCCTGACACTCCTACTCCCTCGGTCCAGAATGCTTTCTCCCGACCTCTTTGCCTGTTCTAATCCTACTTTCATGCCATGGGATGCAATCCTCGCTTGAGGACTCTCCCTAAGAAGGCTTCCTTGACTCATCCAGTCCACAGATCTCTCTTCCGTCCTTAGAATTTCCCTGTGCTTAGCACCAAATGCCCAGGGACACTTCTTATCTAGGTAGTTCCCAGTTTACCAAAGGATCACACTCTTGGAAATCTTTTAACCCAAGGAAAGATGGAAACAATGTTAGAAATGCTACATTAGGTTTCTAGGAGAGTCCACACGAATTTATTTGACTCTATATGCCAGTGCCTAGCATGTGGTAGTGACTTAATAGTTGTTGGATAAATTAACAAACACAGAGTTTTAAGTATACTACTAAAAGCCTGAATTCTGGCTCCTGGGAAGCGAGGGCCCTAAAATGTGGAAGTGGACAGAGAAAGGGGAATAAATAGAATCAATTCTTACTGAGCACCTACTCCAAGAAGGAACTGCCCTCAGAACTTCACATGCTCTCATTTACTCTTTGCACAAGCTTAAGGAGCTGATACTAATCTCTTTTCATGGATGAGGTAACGGGCTCTGTGAGGTGAAAGGACTCGCTGAAGGTCACAAAGCTAGTAAAGGGGCAACACAGTAACTGGAACCCAGGTCGATAATGGCTCTACAGTCTGAATCCTTCTTACCTCACCACCCTTCCTCTAGTTGAAACCTGGTTCCATGTCACATGTTAGACAAAAGACTAAACTGACTGCAGCAAACCCACAATATGTGCTGGGTCCTGTGCTAGATTCTGGGGTGGGGTGTGTGAGAATGCCTGGGGTCTACCCTAGGGAAGTACAATTTGGTTGTGGGGGAGTACTCAGAACAGTAGGAAACCAAAGCCTGTATTGTGTGGATCTCACCGGAAGTGCTACAGGCGGCCAGGAAGAGGGAGACCAAAAGTCAAGAGTGATTCACCAACAAGGTAGCATCTGCTTATGAGGAACGGGGGGATGGTGTTTGGAGGAACTGGGAGGTTGTCTACTCTTCAGTGGGTTCTAGACAAAAGGGCACTGACAGAGCCCCAGAGGCTTGGGGTTGAGCCCTGGTTACCATTCTTGTGTAGTAAATGCTCCTCTGGACCAAGCCAAATAAAAACTCTGTGCTGGTAGGTATCAGGTGACTAAGGCTTGGGAGGGTAAAAACCACCAAGCCTAAGGAGGAGATAGACCCACACTCCGATGCATGAATGGGGACCAAGGTTGTAGGGAACCTAACCCAGTCTTAGTGACCCGGAGGTCTCTCTTTGGAGGTGATAACAGAGCTAGCCAGACAAAGGGGGCGAGGGAAGGGAAGGAGTATTCCACGTAGAGGTAAAGCCTCTAACCCAGAGAAGAGAGCATGGGGTATGAGAGTCAGAAAGAGGTTTGGCAAGGCTAAGGCACAAAATGTAAAGGGAGAGTGTCAGGAGGGGAGGATGGGAAACCCTCATCTCTCATATGTCTAGTTTGGAGGATTTCTTCTGGGCCTCTTACCAGGGTTCTGAGAGTTAAGAGACTGGAATCCAGGATCCTAACTGTGATTCTGATCAGATGGCCTCACTTCTCTGGTCCTCAGTCCAGAAGACTAGAATATAAGAACCAAATCAAAGAGGTTTGTGAAGGGAAAGACTTGAACTGTGTCTTGAAGAACAAGAACAGTTTAGAGACAAGGGATGAAGTGCAAGGCAGTCAAGACACAAGGAATAGGATACTATTCAGAAGCAGTCAAACAATGAGAAGGTATATTCAGAGGCCATCAGGTAGACCCATCTGGGTGACAGTTCACAGTAGAGAGACAGACAGCTGCCGAGGTATGCAGGGCCTACAAAAGGGCCTCAAAACCCAAGCTAAGGAGGCCAAGGCAGTGGGCATAAACCTTTTTTGAGCCATGTGCTTCTTTAAAAATATGATCAAAGCTGATGACTCTCTCCAGAAAAGTGCATAGAAGCATACATACCCCCCCATACACACAATTTTTTAACATACAATGTCCAGGGGCTCACAGGTCCTTATAAAATTAATAGTGGACCCTAGGTTAAAAACCCAATCTAACCTGGCCAGCATGGCTCAGCGGTGGAGCATCGACCTATGATCCAGGAGACTGCATTTTGATTCCTTGTCAGGGCACTTGCCTGGGTTATGGGCTTGATCCCCAATGAGGGGTGTGCAGGAGGCAGCCGATCAATGACTCTGTCATCACTGATGTTTCTATCTCTCCTTCTCCCTCCCTCTCTCTGAAATCAATAAAGATACATTTAAAAAAACAAACAAACAAAAAACCAATCTGAAGAGTTGACAAATGCCTGGCATGTGTGCTACTGTTCTGCACTCCTGAGTCTAAGTCAGAAATCACAAATCTCTGCAAGCAGTTCTTTCCTGTGGAGCCTTTGAAAGAGCCTCAGAATCCTCCTCAACACTGGTTCCAATCAACCACCATCAAGCCACTATAGCTGGAAACAGAGAGGAAACCTATTTGCCATTCCTTGGACTCTCACCATAGGCAGTAGGGTTGTCACTGAAGGTTTTGGGGCAAAAGAAATTATAAAATTAACCTAATGACTTAAGCAGGCTTAAGTCATTTGAAAGGGGAGAGAGAAGAAAATGGGGACAAGGAGACCAGTGGAGACTGCTATAAGACAGACCTAAGGAGATGAGCTGGGGCAGAACAATGAGAAAGCAGGGCATGGCTAGAACCAGCACAGCCAGAATCCTTCATGCCTTCAGTGGGTCAGTCACCCATGTTCCCCTGCCTGGCTGGGCACAGAGAATTCTGGAAGCAGCACTGCTCAGGAGATAGGGCTGAAGAAAGAAGATTGAGATGCTTCCTCCTCCTGCCCCTTGAGGGCTGAGTGTAGGGTAAACAAAAAGAAAAGGATGAATGAAGGGCTTTGGAGTAAGTCAGACCTGAATTCAAATTCTGGTCCAGCTAAATAATCCTGAGCAAATCAATTCTGAGTCTCAGTTTTCTAACCTATCAAATAGGGATGATAAGTTCTAATTTATAGTCACTGCAGTCCAATGCCTGGCATATAGCGGGTACTCAAGATGGGATGGTTGGCTGCCTGCCACCCTATTCTACTTCTATCCCTCTGAAGAACAAAGTGTTCTGGTCTCAAGCTGGTAATGTCAGGTGGGCAATACTCAGGGGTCTGAGACAGGGTCACACACGATCACCTGGGTAATTCAGCCAGGCTGACTCCAGGCACTCCTTTGTTCACTTACTCAACAAAGGTGCACTCACACTCTCTGTGCCTGGCCATTGCTAGCTACTGATCAGGAGACAAGATAGAGGTTCTTGCTTTCCAGGACCTAAGCCAACCAGACTTTTCATATGTGTATGTGTGTGTGTGTGTGTGTGTGTGTGTGTGTGTATTACTTTCTTCATAAATAATTGCACTTTAAGATATGCTCATACTGCTAAGTATATAACAATTCCATTTTTTAAACTGCTGCATTAATTCTCCATGGCACATCCAACCAGATTTTCCCTCTCCGTTCTCCCATCTCCTGACCACTAAGAGGAAGACTCAAAGAACATCTTGCATGTGCCCTTTGGACCTGTGAGTATTTCCCTGGAGATGTACTCAGAATGAGATGCCTGGATTAGGGTTTACGTTACTTGATTTGACTAAAAGTGCCAAGGTCCTCTTCAAGATAGCTGCTCCATCAACCCTCCCACCAGCAGGACAGGGGTGTTCCTATGTACCACTCTCCAGCCAACACTCAGCAGCAAGCTTTCTAATCACTGCAAGTCCAATAGGTGTAAAGCACCTCATATTAGTTTTAATTTGCATGTCTCTGATTACCAACAATTTTGAGCTACTTGTTATGTGTCATAGCATTTTGGGGTCTCCTTTTCTGTACAATGCAGGGGTTTCTTTTAAGAGGAGGGACTGCTAGGAGAGAGGACGTCTCCAAACTTGCTAATCCTTTCAATTAATAGAGTAGAAAGAGCACAGGGCAGAGTCAAGGAGACCCCTGTTCTAGTTCCAGTTCTGCCACCTTCTACTCTTACACCCTAGGGAAGGCACATTGTCTCTCTAAACTTCAGTCTCTTCATAGGTCCACTAGAGTTTTAGAAGGTGACAGTGCAATCTGAGGGAAAGGGCTCCACAAACCTGAGGGATCATTCCTAGGAGACAAATCTTAGTGTTCGGTGAGACTCCAGCTTTTGAGCCCTGCCCAGCTTCCTTACTGAACATCATTTTTTTGCAACCTCTTTTGGTGTAACTCCACAGGAGTGGTGGCACCTGGTAGATCACGGAAGGACAAAACCACGACCACAAGCTGGCCCAACTACAATTTTTCCTCTCTAGGAGCTGGGTGGGCCCCTCCCCCACTTCCCCTCTGTATGTACAGCAGCTCTAAAAGTTAGGATTTCACAAACCTAGGTCTCCTCCATTTCATTTTGTTGCTTTGCAAGTGAATGCCCAGCGGGCAGTCATTTCAAAGTCCTGGGCCAGCTGGGCGGGTGGCTGCCTGCTGAGAATGGCTGAAAGGGCCTCTGAGGCCTAAGAAAGCCACCCTTGCTCTCCCCTGTGATTTTCACCAATGGACAAAATGCAGCAAGTGAATTAATCTCTTTTAAAAAGAGCAATGCTTGTGACAGAGCATGGTGTCTCCGAAAAGGTTAGGATTCCATCATCCCAGAGATGATGAGTGGAATGCTTAATGCAGGTTGCCACTCAGGGTAGAGCAG